GGGGGGGGGGGAAGGGAGGGTACCGGAACCGGAACCAGGGAGCGCAGAAACACGAACAGACTCGACGTCGACGGTGGCGTCGGCGTCGGCCCCGATATGGCGGAAGCGTCGCGTTTGCCGGAAGTCGCCAAGGAAATGAAATGCCTCCCAGCCGGGGAGGCCGCCCTTCCACCTCCACCCCCCAGGGAGTTTCTACCGCCGTCACCCTCCCACCGGAACCGACGTTCCTCGCCAGGATTTCCAGAGTTCTCCTCTTTCCAGGGAATGTAGCGGGGGTTGGCGGAGACGGCGGCGGCAACCGGAGAAGGGCGTCGCGGCGAGATAGCGTCGAACTTTGCGTCAAGTATGAGAAAACGAGGAAAGGGCCTCGGGAAACGTTCGCTCGCGCTTATTCCAAGAGACACGGAAATAAGAAGAGGAACGTTCGCGCGCATGCAATGAAAAAATTATGCGGATTTAGTGCGAAATTTATATATTTAATGATTGAAACCTAACACATTAACGTGCAAAGATAAAGCGTTTATCTAATAATTATTGTCAATCGTGAAACTATCGCCAATGATATGATTTAATGTTAATGCATAACCATAAGTTTATAGTAAAGATTAAACATCTCTCCAACCAAATGTAGATATGCTTTTGCTTCGAAACTTTTAAACAAGATGTTTCTCGCTTCTGCCTCAAGCACTTGATTTATTTGACTCGATAATTTAAATGCACCTGCCAGAGAAAGGTAGTATCGTCTTAATTGTCATTCTTTACAAACGCGACGCTTTGCTTCTCGGTAAACGCACGCATATAGCCTTGTGTACCTGGCGAACGTGATGATGCCGCGGGCGAACGAAGATATTCCGACTTCCGTCCGTGCGCAGGAATTTCTTCCCGGAATAGTTTGGACGCCGGTTAATCGAGTTCTTCATTCAAATTCCATCCATGAAAAAAAGGATTGGTCAGAGTCACACGGTCTGAGTAACGTCGATGACTCGACGTTGTTAATGTTTAATAACAATCATGACGATAATATCGACAATGATAATAATGGATAAGCACTATAAGTATTTTACAATTTTTTCTTTTTTTTTTTTTAATGGAATTGTTCATGTTTTGTCATATATTATTTATCTTTTGTAAATTTTAATTAGATCGTGAGATTAATTCGGCACGATATTAAGAATAAACTATTTATTCGTTTATTTATAATATATATAATGTAATAAAGCGTATAAATAAAAGTCTGCATTATTTTCGGACATTTATAATTAATATGTTTATAGTTTGGCAAAATATCAGAAATTAATAATTCAATTTATATATATATATGCCAGACTGCAATTTGAAAATATGAGAGAAACGGAATACCCTTTTATCTCATCTGAGAAAAATTGCGGAGAAAATTAGAACATAGCTTATAACGGCTAAGTAAGTTGTCATTTATTACCGTCACGCTACCGGCAATTATTTACGTCGTCATTAACTAGATAAGAGCAATAGCGCATTAAAACGTTCAATGCGCGAAAAAAAAAAGAACTGTCGTTACTGCTGTTACTACAAGAAAGAAGAGAAGGACACGTCACGCGATGTACACGCGCACGCACTCACGTGGATGACGCGTTATTTTCCGATGAGATTATTTCCGGTAAGTCCGCGTGATTCCGCGCCGCGTCACTTCCTCCTCCGTTCCGCCGTCGTCTTCTCTTCTCCGTATATATAATCTTCGCGTCAGCTCCGTTTCTTCGTCGCTCATTGTCGGACTCATTGCGCCGAATTACGTCATCTTGTGGAAATCGTTACTACTTCCTGCGCGCGTACCCGAGCGAAAATAGTTTCGCGCAATCTCGTCGTAAGTAAGTAGGAACACGAGTTAATTCAAGAATGCTTTTTATGAGTAAATTATTCGTCGCAACGCGAATGGCAGCGACCATAAAAAAAGAGATTCGTCGTTCTGACCACGCAAGCGTTGCGATATAATATAACTGTTAGCCGTCGCGTAATGGGGAAATAAAATTTTTATATACTCTCGATTTCACGCATATAATTATGACGTAAATTTATAAATTTTACTTTCTTGCATAATCATATAGAAGATTTACTACAATAAAACAATCTTCTTATATATCAAATATTTTTGCAAGCTTTGTGTTTCATAATATTATATTAAATCAATTTGTTAAATTGCTATAATATTTTGTCTGATGACATATTAATCATAACATTATCAATATCATATCACATTAATTTTCTATGATCAAGATGCATCAGGGTTATCTGTCATAAAATTCGTACATAATAGCATCATAGTATAGTACACACACAGTTAAAGAATTTTGATTAAATTTTCATATTGTATATTTTATTTTAATAAAATGGCTTCAAAAACATAGATGATGCAAAATGATATATTATTTTTTGACTTTTCCTTTCACAAAATCGCTGGCTATGCACAATTGCGAAATTGATAACATCAGTCTTTTGTCCAAACATGCGTCAAGCAGCAGTCGAGCACTGCGCGATCTTTATCTCGAGTACGCTAACTACTTCTTTCTGATTAACCAGAGTCAGATATCGTGAAACGGACGTGCCGATGCACGATAGCATTATTCGTCATAGCGCGCGCGGTTTCCTCGACGTCGTCGAAAAGCCTGCGGAGACTTCCGGTCGCGACGAAATCCCGCCGCTCACCGACCCTGACCGAGCACACCCGTGACAATTAGTTCCAGCAGTGATTCGGTTCCCACGCGGTACGATTAAGCCTATTAATAACATCTTGCGACTCGATTTGAGTATATATGTTCGTCCGATCTTAAGTCCGACCTCTCCCGTTTCCCGTTTTAAAAGAACGTGAATATTAAAGTGTCATGAATGTGCCTGATTCACAGTCTCTGCAATTTGATTTGATATATGTAGATGTATATATTTGGCAAAGTATTGTATATTAAACCACTTAAATATTTGCAAGTGAATTCACGATTCTTCACAGAGGAAGGAGAATATAAAATTTTTACGTAAAATATCCGTTAAAATTAGACATTCAATTCTCTGAGTTCACATCGTCTATTTGATGATGTTGTAACGTGACGTAAATTTTCCGATATTTAATCTACCAGCGAACTCTGCTATTTCGAAGTAACATGTGCTTTTTTATGTCGCATTCAAAAATATACACCATCTGTGATATATTGTATTACGTTTAATTTTTAAGAATTGAAAATATACGATATAAAGTTAAATAATTGCATCAATTCTTGCAACTACAGTATTTTTTACCGACAGAAAAATCTAGTTTAGCTTAATACTAAAAATTGTATCGGAAAGGCTTTCGTGTGACAAATTTTGAAATTTAATTCCAGATAAATCAAATACCCAATGCAACCTATATTAAACCACTTAAATATTTGCAAGTGAATTCACGATTCTTCACAGAGGAAGGAGAATATAAAACGTATATTTACGTATATTTACGTATATTTTTTTTTTACGTATTTTTCGTATTTTTGACGATGAGTTCACATCGTCTATTTGATGATGTTGTAACGTGACGTAAATTTTCCGATATTTAATCTACCAGCGAACTCTGCTATTTCGAAGTAACATGTGCTTTTTTATGTCGCATTCAAAAATATACACCATCTGTGATATATTGTATTACGTTTAATTTTTAAGAATTGAAAATATACGATATAAAGTTAAATAATTGCATCAATTCTTGCAACTACAGTATTTTTTACCGACAGAAAAATCTAGTTTAGCTTAATACTAAAAATTGTATCGGAAAGGCTTTCGTGTGACAAATTTTGAAATTTAATTCCAGATAAATCAAATACCCAATGCAACCCTCTCATATTGTAGCCGCGCTTAGAACAATACATCCATTTGGGCGATATCAAATCTGGCAGCAGCTGGGACTTATTGTTAGTATTACGTAGAATCGATATGCGTAGAAAAATGAAAATCGCCACAATCAAGCTTCAAGAACGTATCAAGCATCAGCGTTTCGCCGGAAAATTAACTTAAATACATTTACGCGATTAATTTAAAATTTTTTATCTGCTCGCCGAGCGTATAAATGAATATTTTACGAATGTCTGTGCAGCGCGAAACCTGTTTACAACAGACAACGTTTCGAGATATCGGCAAGATGCCGCGCCGCACCGAACGGATGTCGTAACTTGCGATAAATTATAAAAAGCAACGTTAAATATATATAGGCGAGTCCGTTAAACAGGAGAGAGGAGGCAGGAAACGATCGTCGGATATAGCAAGGATTCACGACGCTATTCCACGGCGATATGTAAATAGAAATGTTCCTTCGCGGTGTCAGCGAGATTAATTCCGCGCAAACGTGGATGGGAATAGAACAGATCCGATTTTAATGCGATAGATTTGTATTATTAATAGACCGTACAATAACGGTGATCCAGCTGTCGAACTGTCCGTGAGATCAGTCTCATTACGTAAAGTGAGAGAAGGAAAGGTTGCCTTCTTTGCGTGCCGACGACTATTATACGGCGAAGTAATAAATGGTAATAGACGAGGCGAATAAAGATCCGCGCGTTAAAAGAATTATTATAACGAGTCAATGACGACTGCCACTGTTATTAGACGGAAACTATGCGACTTCGGAGGCATTCACAAAGTGTTATTCGCCTTTCACTATTACCGTGGCATACCATTCAGGTGCGACCTGTGTGTTTCCGGAACCCCATAAAATGTGTGAGATATATTAAACTTTTGTACTGCTAATAATGTGTTAGGAAAATGTCATCATTTTAGATTAAGAGCTTCATAGAAATTAATGTTTTATAAGGATAATAATTTTTCGCCCAAAAAGATAATGCTGACATTATTTTTGTAAAGATTATTTTATAATAAGTAGATAAAAATCTCCATATTCATTATATTATTAATTTTTTTGTTATTAATTAGTAACGCAATAAAATAATATGAAATCAAATGAGTTTCACTCACCAATGATGCAACGGCGGAGACCTGCACATAACGTTGATCTGTAACATGCAAATATATTGAAATTATAAAATAATAACAAAAATAATTAATATTTCAAACAATATTCTACGATTCGTATATTATACGCATTCTCAGTCCGAAAATGATTAACAAATCATATCATCGGTAACGTTATCCTGATATCACACGCGAATCGAATTACGTCGTTATTTGAATCAAATAATCATTAATTCGCGATACTCTTACATGTTATTTATCGCGACAGATAATCGCTAATTCTATTAATTATAGAAAATGATTGCTCGTTTAATCTTTTTTCGAGCGCGCGTGATTGCGTTCAGAAAGATATTACGATACACGAAACGACTTGTACCTCGCTCGAACCTCACCGTACGAATAACAAGGTGACAGCGTAGAGACATAGAGACTCTCTAATAAGAGTCGTGAAAAAAAGTCTTGTAAGTTGATGTGATGCCATGTTTTGTCAAACACATGTTTGTTTATCACTTTTGTTTACAGACATTACCATAATGGTCGTACACAATCATACTATATCTATTATATCAGTTTGACAAAACATGGTGGTACCAATCAAAATCGGGGACGTTATTTCGCGATTCTTATTAGAAGGTCTCCACGTATACACAATATATAGCGTGCTTTATAGGTTACAGAAAATAAATACCGAATATAAGTATATGACAATAACATAATTCACGGTTATCATAAAATATCTAAGACATTATGAAAGAAATATTATTCATGTTTCTTGAATTTCAAATTAATTGTTAATAAAAAAGTAATACGTGTAATATACCTACATTATATCGCGACTTTTCGTAACGTTAATCGCTCGATTTGTATATTACCGCACGAAAATGATCCGAAAATAATCAATAATTTCATCTAAATTATCAAAAAATTCGAATCACGGTGCAAAATATATTATATATAAATACCAGCATATTTAAAAATAATATAAAATATCAATCATAATTGTCGCAATAAAATATTTTATAATTTCTGTCCTTTTAATTGCTACTTCAAATGAATATATCGCAAGAAATATCCGCTTTGATAAATCGCCTCGATATGCGATTAATTGCGAGTTAATTAATTGTGAAGAATTGATAATCTTTAACTTATATAAAATAACCGCGTCGTGCGATTTCTAATATTTCACGATCATATTCCGATTGATAATACATATGTCGGACGTGCAGCGAGACTCGAGTGAAAAGATAACGTTGCGAGACGTTCATATTTTTTCAAATGCGATTGCGAAAAATATCGGGAGATGCCAAACGATCATCTCCTATGATTATTACAATTAGCACAATTATCAGAGTTTGCATAATTTATTAATTCCCGCGATAAACGATAGTAAGAATATTACGATGACGACTATTTGATTTAAATAACGAAATGATATAATATATCAACAATATTTATCAGTAATATACATATTTCGCGGGATTTATATATGTGTTGGAAATGTACTAAGTTTGCAATATCGAATACCGATTATATATTTTATATATTTGTTTTATATATTATATATTTTCTGGCGGTCCATTGCGTTTTACCTTGGCATTAACTCGCGAATTGTGTAATATCGCGCGATATCATAGTTGAATTGTCGATGTCATTTTCGAATTTTTTGATCATTAGCGAAATGTTGCGGATAGGACTTTGAATCGAGCGACATTGCGGCGCATTTAATTAGTAAATACAACTGTATCTAACGAACCATATTTTGATATCTGTCAAACGCATGCCAAAAATTCAATGTCTGCACATCAGTAATTTATTAAAATGTGTATTTTATATAATTTATTCGATCGAAATGTATCGCGCAAATAATCACATGTTTTCGAATATTACATCTTTAGAACATTTATTTTTTATTTTAACTTGTATATATTTAGCCGTTTATATGTTACGAGGTAGAAAGGAAAAAAGAATAAATTCGCGATTTTCGAATCCCATAGCTTCTTAATCACAATTTTTACATTATTTTCCCGTTGCAATATAACAATGTGCATCACATGCGATTAATGTCGAGAATATTATGCAAAGTCGTGCATTATCTTTCATTGATTAATACGCGCGCGATTTTATAATTAACCATGTTTTCGTAAATCAGAGAGTGTTGTATGAGTGACAGAAAAAATTTTTATTTGTTACTTATAAAATTAGTTTCTCTCGTTTATCTACGAGACATAAACCTTAACAGAGAAAAGGCTAATTTGGAAAGGCGAGTCTAGTGACATCCTGCTAATCCATAAATCAGCTGTGATTTACTATCAAAATCACTGTCGGTGCCGCGTGCGATTTATTCCCTTTCGGCTCGATAATAAGTACATTTTTCACGCCCCATCGTTATTCCTATCATAATCAACGTCATTTCACAATAAAGGTTTTCCATCAATCGAAGAAATATATTTGTGGTATATCGTTTTCAAATTGGGACAACGTTGTTTTCATAGCACGATGCATGTGCGTGATCATGATGTTTGTGCATATTAAAATTTATATCAATATTTGGGATGTTGCAGCAGTTTGCTTTCGTTATATTATTGTAACATACTTCAATATTGTTAGAGTAAAGCGATGAGAAATAGCGGGATATCTCTAGTGCTCAAGATTAAAGACAAGTGGCATCAGCGATATTATCTAATTTAAAGCTATAGTTTGAAACATACACATGCGCTGTTAGACTGATTACTTAGCTAGTGTATATTTTTATTCACTTGCCAAAGTTAAAATTTTTTCTCCGGTATTATTTTAAAATTCGCGTAATATATATTGCAATATTATTTTCAATAAAAATATATATTCTTTTCTGATTTAATATAGATGAACTTCTGTTTAATTATAACGTATTATATATTAGCGATATAATACAGCAACAAAAATAAAAAGATTCTGGATAATATCATAAATAAAAATAAAAAATATTTAATTAAATAATACATATATAGTCTCAGCAAAATAAAGTAAAAAGTAAAATAAAAAACATCCATAGTTATTAAAGACAAATTGGCAAAATAATAGAAACAAAATATTAATATAAATATGTATAACGAAACTATCAAAAATTATCTATATATATTTTTATATCTGAAAAGTGATACTCAATTCCTCGTGATTCTTCGCTTTGCAATCATTTCCGGGCGTCGAGCATACGGCACAGTATTGTTGTATCGGAGTGTTTATATCATGAATCACGGGAGGAGAAAATGATTCAACGCCCGTAGTTAATTGTAATCACTTAATTACGTTACGATGCTTTGTTCGCGAGTACTTGCATCGAGTACTCCAAGTGCGGGATCGCTACATTGACCGCGATCGATTATCTCGATTTGGTTGCGGCCGCGTGATTAGAATACCGATTAACCGTGATTAGACGTGACCGTGGACATTCCTGCCGCACGCAAATGCCTGTTGGTTACAATGGTGTCGAACAACAGTGTTATCTATACAGCGGGACCACGTACGTACGTGCGTGCGTGCGTGCGTGCGTGCGTGCGTTGGACCATAAGCCCCGATTATGCGTTTCCCTAAACCCCTATCGGACACCGCAAAGGAAAATCTCTAGCGGTCAGGGGAGTATTGTCGAGTAGTTTCCTCCTTTTTCAGATATTTTAACTCGGTATTAAAATACTGATAATAATATCCTGCCGTTTTGAATTTAAATTTAATAAATATAAAAATAAAATTTTTTGTTTGTAAAACTATAAATCACTTGCATCTTTGGATTTTCACACTTTAAGAAAGTTGGATGAGACTTGACAGTTTATAGTTCTGAGTAATGCTGAAAAAAATTATAGAGAACGATATCGGAAAGGAAAAAAAGAACTATGATATACAGATAACCTTTGTTTGGCGCGACCAAGACCTAAAACAGAATCTCGTTCAGAACAAGCCTGTCGAGCGTATAATTTACTCGGGAATCACCGATGGGAGAAGCGCGCGCGAAGTGGCGGGAAGACAGAAGGATTGAGTAACGGATCGGCGAACGAGGTGAAAGAGAGAAGGAGGAGGGAGAGGACGCGGAGACTAAAAGGGATCGAGTATTAATAGAGACTCGGGCGACTGGAAGCCGGAACTGAGCAGCGCGCACCTCTCTTCCTCTCCTCCTCCTTCTTCTTCATCTCCTTTTATCTCTTCAGAGAGAGAGAAAGAGAGAGATGGAGAGAAAGAGAGGTCGCCTTATTTATAAACGGCGAGATGAAACGTGGTTAAGCCGTCGTGAGAGGAAACCATTCTCGTACTCATAGTCATACTCAGCGATCCAACGCAGCTCCCACGCTTCCACAGATGCATTATAATACACGCGCGCAGCACCTCGCGCGACCGCCACCCCTGACGTAACGCACAAGCGGTGCATTTATTTAAAAAATCGCGCCTACATTATTATTATTTGAGCCCACTTTCTCCGCGCGAGCTCGATAGCGCTTTATCGAATGCGTAACAAATCAACGCGACAGGGTGCACCAATAGTGTCTCTTTTTTAATCGCGTATAGTAGAAGTTAAACGGGAAATAGAATGATGGTTGTCCATGTTTCCACGGTGGGCAGTTGTATGATATCAACGAAGAAAAATTAAAAAATTTGAAGGAATAACAAAATTTAGATTTTTTAAATTTATTCGAATCAGACTTTATCTCGCGAGAAAAAAAAAGTAAATTCGAAATCACGAATTTATTTAAAACGTAGATTATAAAAGTTTAGCATATATGTATAGCAGGCAGAATGCTCTTTTTGTTCTTTAAAATTTCTTTCAAATTCTTTTAATATTTAATTATTTTCCACTAAAGTGCATTTCTCTCTCTCTCTCTCTCTCTCTCTCTCTCTCTCTTAATAATAATTTTCAAGTTGCTCCTAAATTTAAAATGTAGATGACGATAATATACTAGTAAATTTAACGATTATATGAGAAAATTAGTATGTTCTAAAATTAATTGTTCTAAGAAGCTTGAAACAAAAATTGGGAAAATAACGACAAAAGAAGGGGAAGAGCAGGATTCGAGCT